CAGAAACCACTAATGTGCTCCAACACTCCTTGTAGAGACCTGTGTAGTGCTCTAGTCTCATTAGATATCAGTTATACCAGCTAGTGCCTAAAGACTGCAACCAGATTCCATCAAAGGTACTTCTTTGGCCCCCATTACATAGAATCTGAGCACCACACCATCTTGAATATATTTATCCTCACAAAAAGAACAGGAGTACTTGTGGCACCTTAGAGACTAATAAATTTATTTGAGCATAAGCTTTCGTGGGCTACAGCCCACATCCGAAGAAGTGGGCTGTAGCCCACGAAAGCTTATGCTCAAATAAATTTGTTAGTCTCTAAGGTGCCACAAGTACTCCTGTTCTTTTTGCGGATACAGACTAACATGGCTGCTACTCTGAAATTTATCCTCACAGCCTCCCTCTGATGTGGGGAAATACTATTGTCCCCATTTTACCCAGGGGGAAGCGAGGCACTGACAAACTAAGACCCAGATCCTCAAAGGCATTTAGGCAGCAAGCACCTATTGAGAGGTGGGAGCTAGACACCTAACTATCTTTGAGGATCTGGGCCTAAATGACTTGCCCAATGTCCCACCAGAAGTATGAAGCAGGGGAGGGAACTGAACTTAGGTCTCCCAGGTACCATGCTAGCTGCCTAACCACTGGAACATCCTTCCTCTCTCTGAGGTTGGTCCCCATAGTGCTAGGCACTGTACAAATACTACACATGACAGTCACTGCCACAAAGGGTTTAGCAGCTTTCCTGTGAAACTCTTGCTGTATATTCCCTCATTTGCCTAGAAGACAACATATCCATTCCTGCTCTGCTTATCCTACAGAAATCTCTCCCTTCAATCTGCAGAGATTTCTTATTCCAGCCGTTTATCTATATCAACCTAATTCGTTAATAATGGTAGTGATTAATAGCTTTTTCTTTCCAGTGTTCAGGGGCTGGAAAATGTTAGACAGTATTTGTGCTGCTATACATCAATTTTAGACTGTTTTTTTTTTTAAGAAGGCAAGAGAACATGGTGAGAAAGGTCTTGTTGGAGGTGACACAATGTATAAAGTGCTGAACTGCTATGCAGTCTTCATTTTATACTCATCTTTATTGCCATGCTGGGACAGTTATGCTACAATAGTCTGGATACACAGCCTGCTGACTGCTTATCTGGGATAGACAAATAGCTGTCATAATCAAAGCTGAGATCTGAGGAGTAAAAAGCAACTGGAGATGGCTGGAGGGGCCTGAGGTGGTATTAAATACTCACAGGAGAGCAATTAGAATGGTCAACTTTTCTTAAGCTGTTTGGGACACTGGCTGTGCCTTTGTGTGTTTGTTGACTGTCCAGCAGTGTGGAGATCGAATCCTGATTGAAGCTGTAATATAAGAGGTAAACAATACTACTACTAATCAGGCTAACAGACCAAGACTATTTCATTATCCTATTCCAGGAGTGGCTAACCTGTGGCTCCAGAGCCACATGCGGCTCTTCAGAAGTTAATATGCGGCTCCTGGTATAGACACTGACTCCAGGGCTGGAGCTACAGGCACCAACTTTCCAATGTGCCGGGGGATGCTCATTGCTCAACCCGTCTCTGCCACAGGCCCTGCCCCCACTCCATCCCTTCCTGCCCCCTCCCCTGAGCCAGCAGTGCCCTTGCTCCTCTCCCTCCTCCCCCCAGAGCCTCCTGCATGCCACGAAACAGCCGATGGGGAGGTGTGGGGAGGGAGTGGGAGGCGCTGATCAGCAAGGCTGCCGGTGGGCGGGAGGCGCTGGGAGCGGGGTGAGGGAGCTGATGGGGGGCTGCTGATGTATTACTGTGGCTCTTTGGCAATGTACACTGGTAAATTGTGGTTCCTTCTCAGGCTGGCCACCCCTGCCTATTCACTCTCACAAAGCGCAATGATTGTCCATTTCTAGATAAAGACAGCATGGTGAGGAGCTGCTGATTGTTCTGATTTTTAATTCTATCTGAAATCAGGTGTTTGCAAAGATGTCAAATGAGTACTGTGGGCTCCAATCACCTACAAGCTCCTCGTCCAAGGCGTATCCCCTGATGCAGTTCACCCTCCACCCTAACTCATTGGGGGGAAGATTGGAGGTGGAAGGGTGTACCAGGGAGGGAGGGGGAATGGCTAGGGTGTTCCTATTCCACTGCTGCAAAAAGTCCCATAGGGGCTATGGCAGCCAGGATGTATGTTTGGACAACCCCCAAAGCCCACAGATTAAGAGAAATGCAAGCCCCTTCCCCTCGGTCCCCTGCATTCTGTACCTGTGCAGGGCACAGTTTTAGTCTCAGCTACATCTGTGTGCATCTGGATTAACTCCACTCTATTGACTTTAGTGGAGTTACTATGGATTTACCCAGAGGTAATCAAGGACAGGACTTGGCTCTGGGTTTATAAACAAATAGGAATGCATTACAATGGCCATGGATAAAATCCAGCCCTACCATTTATCTCTGATGTCAAATTTGTGATTAAATTTTCAGTGGCTATGAATATTTATAACAGGCTATCAACATGTTTTTGACCACATCCCTTAAACAGATTGTTATGCTACCTGCATTTTCAAGGTGATTTCTCACTTGCAGAACAGGGTCAGAAACATTCCTTGATGCTACATTCAAAGAAAAGTTAAGCAGTTATGAAATCTATCAATGAGCACAGACAGCACACTCCTGAATTATTAGTGTTTTTCAGGTGAAGAAGTATAAGATATAAATTGTTAATTATGCCAAATCAAACCTGTAGAGAATGTGACTTGATCATATAAAGGTATCATTATGGTCTTATATTATGGTCTTTAAAACATAAGATAGAGAAAGGAATAAACAGGGAAATCATAGATAAAACTGAAGAGAATTGTTTGTTAGATTCCTTTTTAATCCGCTCCTGTTTGTCTTGCTACAAAGTTATAAATGTTAATTCTAGTGTGGGGGCTACCAAAGCCTCTAATCTCATTATCACCTTTTCTTCCTCCAACAGCAATGAAAATTATCAGTTTGGATGGGGATGCATCACCATGAAGAATTTCAGTGTAACCTATCCCACTTTGAGTTATACTGGGAGGATAAAACCCAGTGAAACTCAAATAAAATGCAGACATTACATGCAGTTGGTAACATGAAAAAACTGAGGATTTGGCCCAGCCATTCAACTGTCAGTGTCATTTCACTCTAATAGAATGGAGAGTAGGATCTGGTCCACAAAATACACTTTAACGTATCATAATCTACATTTTCCATAGGCTTCATTAGTTGGTGTATGGTGTAACTATTTCATCCTGTGCTGTACATGTATGCCTTTCCAATGTGCCCATCTCCATGCTATTTTGGAGTGATAGACATATCAAGAAACAGTTGAATAAAATAATATCTATTGAATTATTTATCTGAACACCGTATTGAAATAGATTCTAGTTGGCACAGAAGGTTGATGCTGTATCATTTCATCTTTAGAATCCAGGGTTCAAAGCATATTTAAGTCATGTGTGAAAGATGAGTGAGTTTGGTCTCGTGTCTTTTTAGTATTTTGTCCTCATTGCAACATTAACATGTTGATTTGCAGAGTTAACTCAAAGCAGCCCAGGTCTTGAATAGTAGCAGGAAGAGTTGCAGGTCAGGTTAAAGTAAGAGCTAGTCAAAAAAATGTCAGAGAAAGCCTTTTCATCAAAATCAAAACTTTCCACAGGATCATACTGATTTCAATGAAGTTTCCTTCAAGATTTTTCCCCCCGAGCATTTCTGTTTTAACCTTATGGGAACAGAACATTTAGATTTTTCCTTTAGAAATGACTTTTCAATTCAAAATATATTTTATATTACCGGTATATTATCTTGTAAGTTATAATATAGTATAAAATATTCAAAACTGAAATGAAACATTTTGATTTGGAATTGAAAAAATTGTGAAATGTCAACATTTCCCATGAAATGGAAATTTTGAGTTTGAAGCAGCTGTAGTGAATATACATGGTCAAATCTCTGAGGAGAAGCTTCCTGGGTACATGCTTCTCCCTCATACAGAAAGCAAAGGGTTGCCTTCATTTTGTGCATAAAACATTTCTTAAATCTTTTTATTCTCTGATTGGTTATTAAAGTCTTCCCTTTAGTTAGCAGAAAAGGGAAGTCATAAAAGCTCATATTTGGCTCTTGACAAAAGGTGGTCAAAATTTTTCATGTGGAAACTTTTCCTGACAGAAAATACAGTTTCATCTAACCAAACGTTTTCACAGAAAAAATATCAATCCTACTGAGAAATTCTGGTTTTCCCACATGCAGTTTTGAAATTAAATTGTTTTGAATTCACATTTCTGAAGGAGATGAAAATTTTCATTTAAAATCAGTTCAAAACTTCCCTTGGGAAAACTGAACAAAGATTTTTTTTCCATTCAAAATTTCTCATGGGAAATTTTTTGGTTTTTCAGCCAGCTCTTCTTTTGAATTGGGGAAATAAAAGTGTGATAACTCCTAAACGCAACATACACATATGTTTCAGGTGGCCACCTTAACTAGATTTTGCCACTTCAGTGTGATATATGCAAACGTGGGATGGAGCTTGTGTAATTTAGGCCTGATCTGCAAGCCATTAAATCAATGTAAAGACTCCCATTGACCTAAATGGGCTTTGGATCAGAATCACAAATATATTATATTTGGTATCCAACTTTCTCTTATTTTACTCTGATAAGTAGTGCATGTGGAAGGACTGGCTTGTTAACACAACACTTGTGGTCTCATATGACTCTAGTCTAAACTATTGTTTAAGAAATGCTTCTCATCCTACTTAAAGTGGACTCTGTGTACCTGCAACATTATGTTGGAAAAAGCTACTTTGGTATATTTCTATGGAGATAAATATAAAACTGATGGGTGATGTTTTAAATATGTTAAATATTAATACCAAGGGAAAACCATTTAATGCAAAGTCATTTTTTAAACAAATATACACTGATATATTTTTAATTTGGCATATGATAACAAGGATTAAAATGTGGTCCTGTATTCCTAGCTGCAGACTGAACTCAATCAAACATGTGAACAGTTAGTCCAAGAAATGATCAGCCCCACATTACAACAGATCGTAGGTATGTGCATTTTGCTCATTTTTCACACCCATTCCACATGGAGGCCTCTCAGCATACAGTGTCTTTAAATACACACTGTCCAATCACAGCACTCAGCTATGGGCAACACAAGATGTATGACATTCTCTGTAACGATCAAGAAGATCAAAGGCAACAACAAGGAAAGGATCACACAAGAAAATGTGTAGGCATTCAATATTTTTATCTCTTTGAGAAGCACTGCTCAAAATAAGTACAAATAACTCTCAAATCCCTGGGTTTGTGTACAAATCAAAATACATATCATCAAGGCCAGCTCTAGGTTTTTTGCTGCCCCAAGCAAAAAACATTTTGGCTGCCCCCCACGCTGCACCCTCCTGCTGCCCCAGCCCTGGGTCACTGGTAACTCGCTCCCAGGGTGGGTCATTCAGCAGGAATTTTGGATGTGCACAGAACAGACAGGATTGGTTCCCATATGGTTACAGAACTGCGGTAAAGTGGAACAATTTTCAGCTTGTGTGATTGGAGGCTATCTGGCTGCATATTAGAAGACTGTCCTACATAAATGAGGAAACGTTGAGGTGCCTTTATTATTCTTTTGTTCCATTCTTTGTTTCTATGGGGAATTTGCCAATGCAATATCACTGTCTTCCTTTTAACCAAATAAAACTAAAACTTAAAATAATAATAATAATAAAAAAACAATGGCTGTTGAAAATAGCAATTCCAGTCCTAATAACCACTGGGAAGCATTTCTTGCTCAATTTATTCTACTTTTTCTACAGCAAGTTACAGTGGATCAGTATATTTGATTTGGGAGAAATGAAGTAACAACGGCCCAAATTGAGCCTGAGAGCTCCTGAATTTTGAGGGTGTTCAAATCTGGAAGGCAGGTGCTAGATTCTCTTTCTGAATATTAGCTAAATCTGGAAAAGAAAAGTCAATTTCTGCTTCCATGGCTCAGAAGTGTAAATCCTCCTAGTGCCTGGTACTGTATCTAAAGCTGCCCAGTCTAGTAGAGCCTCCCCTCCCTTACTTTTCATTTTAAATTCTAGTGGGATCCACATACCTGCCTTGCTAGGCTTCAGATAGAGAGGTGCAATGTCCATTTAGTCCACCCAATTGTTTCTTTGGAGGAGAGCCCAGGGCTGGGGCGGCAAGAGGTGTGGGGGGGTAAGAGCCCAGGCTGGGGCAGCAGGAGGTGCAGGTGGGGGCCAGAGCTGGGGCAGCAGGGAGTGCGGGTGCAGGGGGGGGAGAAGAGCCCAGGACTGGGGTGGCAGGAGATGTGGGTGTGGGGAGAGCCCAGGGCTGGGTCAGCAGGGGGGTGCAGGTGGGGCCAAAGCTGGGGCAGCAGAGCTTGTGGGCGGGGGAGAGTCCAAGGCTGGGGCAACACAGGGGAGCGGGGGGAGCCCAGGGCTGGGGTGGGGGGGGGGCGACAAAAAACCTAGAGCAGGCTCTGTCCCTACCATTTACAGCAAGCTGCAGCATGAGGTTTCAGTTCCACACTCCTTCCCCCTCCCTTTCCTGTTAATTGCGACCAAGGGAATGCTGGGAAATGTAGTTCTTTCCCTGCTCCAGGGCTGGCTCTATAGGCAGGGAGCTAACCAAGGAACTACAGCTCCCAGAGCTCCCTGTTGGTTCTCAGCTCCCATGCTGGATTCTTGCGCCCCTGCAAATTTGTCGCCCCAAGCACTTGCTTACTTTACTGGTGCCTAGAGCCGGCCCTGCATATCGTACTGTAATTTCAACAGGAAGGCAAGGCCTCAGCTTTACTTCTCATCTGAAAGATAGCACCGTGCTGTGACATCAGATCTATTCTGACTCAGAGGGAAAATGACATTCACTAAACTACCTTTTCAGTAGGTGACCCTGCCAAATGCTAGTGCAAGTTGATTAGAGAGACCAGGTGGGTGAGGTAATATCTTTTATTCGACCAACTTCTGTTGCAAGAAAGACAAACTTTCGAGCTTATACAGAGCTCTTTTTCTGGTCTGGGAAACACACTCACTTTTCCCAGACCTGAAGAAGAGCTCTGTGTAAGCTCAAAAGCTTGTCTCTCTTACGAACAGAAGCTGGTCCAATAAAAGATATTACCTCACCCACCTTGTCTCTCTAATATCCTGGGGCCAACATGGCTTCAACAATAGGGCATAATGCGAGTTGATGACAAGATGCAAAGATTAATACCTACAGTAACACTATGGTGTTAGATTGATTTCTAAAACCTCCTTTAAAGGTTCATTTCAAATCCTCGAATAGTAAGGGAAAAGCTGAAGCATGAAAGAAAATGGAAAGATAGGTAGGGGGAAAGAGTGAGATGAAGGATATGGATGAATTATGTAAGATTCAGTTAAGACTAGCTGACCTACATCCAGGCTGGGTGTATGAAGGAGGCATTACTACCGGCCCTAATATCAGGTCACAAACTAGATGTTATTGGAATCTGCAGCTCATAACCTCACATCAAGATCTACTCGACATATACATCTAGATATGGGTGCCAATTGGCATTGTGACCATTCCTAGATATGCTGATTTCCAAAGGTGGTAATATTAAAAAATAAGAACATACATGAGTACCAATTATGTCTAGATACTAACATGACAAGCACACTTCTTTTACCCAAAGTCTAAAGGTGTTTGGAGGAAAAGAAAGAGTTTGGCACAACCCAAGTGCCCATAAATTGGTGAACTGGCCTGTGTATAGAATTTTTCTAGGGGCCCTGCACCACTTAAGTACAACTGACTGCATGCAGAGTCCCTGCCATTCCTCATCTATGGGTCCTGTGTGACTGTAGTCCTAGTGGCCCATGGCAAAATTTGAATGATCCTCTTTGCATGGAAAGCTGTGCTTTGGTACATTTCCAGACTTCTCTGTCCAGATGTCACATTGCCTCCTATAAAGATAAGGGCCGAGATTACTGCAGGCTGAGAGGGCCAGGCACTGGTAAAAGGGTATCAAGAGCAGGGACAGCCCTAGACCAAATCACACCCCAGGCAAGGAGCGTCTTCAGTGTGCCCACCCCCCATTTGTTAAACTTTTGAATACCTTATTTTTTATTGCATTTATAGCCCATTTGATGACTTTAATGCATGATTTCCATGCATGATAAATTTGCACACTAGGATCTGTAAATCTGTATTTATTCATGCCAAATATAAGCAAATGAAAATTGTTTCCTCTAAGTTTATGGAAACTTTTTAATTTTAAGAATAACTGAAATGTACTAATGTAAGCAGAGTCAGGATGAGCTCTACCCTGACATCTGGTGGTGAATTATGGTGAGTGTGGAAAAGAACTCCAGGGGCTGATCTTGTTTGTATAGGCTCACCCACCTGTGTGGCATGAAACAACAGCAAGTGAAAGTGGTTACTTTGGCTGATGTGGGATCCACAGTTTCTCTGTTATTGGGGCAGGAAGAATAAAGTTTTGTTACCCTGATTCTGTGAATCAAGGCCAGTGGAACTGTTGTATGACAGAAGGACTGAGTGAATCCTTCACCATTACCCAAGTAGCACTTGCTTGACAAGGGGCATGGGTTATAAAACCCAGTGAATTGAGAGAGGATGGGGACAGGTATTTGTACCTGATGGTATGGGCCCCCTCTGAGGGCTTGAAACACCAATTGCACCATCTCCTCTCTCCACTGTTGAATATCAGAGCTAACTTTGATTCCATTAAGAGTCTAGTTACAGGCTGCTGAGCTGAATTCAATTTGGGCCAATGGTGCACCAGCGCTAGGGCTCCCCTACTCTGAGCTGAAATCACTAAGAGCTGAAATCACAAAAGAGTTAAAGTTATTAAGTGCGGTGTTAACTAGTGCGGGAGCCTGAAGCTATATTGCTAAGCAGCTGGGGGAGCAATTTGTGGGGATGACTGGAGGAGCAGTGAGTGGCGCAGAGCCTTGCGGGGACGGTTGGAGTGGCCCAAGGACCGGCGAGCAGAGCTGTTTGCGGGGACGGCTGGAGCGGCTCACAGGTCGTGGAGTGGAGCAGCTTGTAGAGCAGAGCGGTTTGTGGGATGGTAGGAAGTGGACTGGCTCGTGGTGAAGGCTGCGGCGGAACCCCACGGAGAGACGGCCGGTCGGCCTCGGATCACATAAGGTGCCCCTTAACACCCTGCGTGCCCCCCTTTTACTCTGGGGCTGCACTAACCAGGGACAGAGACTTTGGGGGTTGTTGGACTTTGGGGACTTTGGGTGGTTGCTGGACCCAAGAGATTTTGGGGGTGTTGGACTTTGGGGACTCAGTGATTTTTGGTTTGCTGGATTCAAGGACCAAAGGGAAAGGACACAGCCCAATTTGCTGGGGTGGGGTTTTTTTGCTCATGGTTTGTGTTATGAATCCTGTTTGTGGTGTTTTTCCAATTTAATGCTGATGTCGTTTACCTCATGTTATTAAACATTTTCTGCTACACTCAGACTCTGTACTTGCGAGAGGGGAAGTATTGCCTCTTAGAGGCACCCAGGGGGTGGTATGTAATTGTCCCGGGTCACTGGGTGGGGGCTCGAGCCCTTTTGCATAGCGTTATTGAAACGGAACCCGTAGATACAGAACCCGGCCCTTGTTGCTGCCAACTTAGATGGGCAGAGGGTTACACTAACATCAAGAAATTGAATTGTGCACTAACATTGGGAGGACCAGTATTAAACAGTGTTACAGTAGGTCACAGCCTTAGAATGTTAACCCTCGTTCTTTAGTTCAAAAGGTCACTTTTTCCACCTTTGCCCTGGTGAACTGAAGCACAGCATCAGAGAGATCCAAAGACTGTACTTCAGCTCTGCATCATGAATAATTTGGAGAACATGGAGTGGAGAGTGCTTCCTGGGTGGCAAAATGTGATTGTTGTTGTCCAATTCAACAGAGAGGTCTTTATTATTGATGTCCGAACAGTTTCCATGCATCAGCATCCAGTGAAGATCTGTACAATTGTTCAGGAATGTTTTCCTGTCTGCCAGCAGCTTACTAAGGTCGGTCATACAAAAAAACCCAGATCTTTTTGTGGTGCTTCATTTGTCCAA